AAGAAAGCCTGACCAAACAGTCGGTTTCTGACCAAGATTGGGTTTTCATGGCAGTTCTGGTCACATGACAGCAGTGTGGGTTTCCTCCATGAGTGTGCATGCCCACGTGCAGGAGTGTCTCCTGTTTCCGGGTCAGGATTGTGTAATCGGTGCTGCTGTCAGCAGTATTGCCCGTTACATAAGACTATTTGATGTTCTGAGTTTTAATCCGGCTGTGCTGCCTGAACGCTCACATCTGGGATTTCCAGCTTTTATGGCCCTCGCCTTTACTACGCAGATTTAAGTCCTAATACACAAACGGGTCACAGAGGTGGGCCTGCGTGGTTTTTGTCCAGCCTTAAGTGCCCAGGAAGTCCCCAATCTGGATCAGCTGTTAGTGTTTCAACGTTTTATAACTGACATCAGATGTCTGTTAATACAGAAACATCTCCAGAACATCTGGATGGATCTGATCCAAACACTCACTCTGACTGCAGGATTATTCATACAGGTGTTACTAGACCAGACCTGGGCCCGCAGGTCCCAACTCATCATGGAAGGGCCGAAGCAGCCCTGGAACTGTGAGGGTGCTTAACTCCTCTGCCGCCATCATCTCCATCCTCGTCCCGGTCAAATATTGCACACAATCAGAGGAACATCAACGCCTGTGCAAGATGTGACGCAAGTCTGAGGAAATCATGGTTTTATCAACAGAAACGAAAAAACTAAATGTTCATGAATCTTTAAACAACCAACGGGGGCCACGAGGAACCTGTCCCCTCTGTTATTTATTCTCCTGCTCCTTTAGTACCCCTGAGGATGCTGGTCAGGTGTTGGTGTAAGTTCTCACCACCCAGGACACGATAAGCGCTTGTCTTTCTGAAAGACACTGCATTCTCTTAGTGTTCACATATAAAGCTCTTAATAATCAAGCTCCATCATACATCAGTGACCTGATTGTTCCATACGTTCCTAACCGAGCACTTTGCTCTCAGACTGCAGGTCTACTGGTGGTTCCCATAATATCTAAAATTAGGATGGGAGGCAGATCTTTTAGTTATCAGGCTCCTCTCCTGTGGAACCAGCTCCCAGCTTTAGTCCGTGAGGCAGACACCTTGTCTACTTTTAAGACTAGGCTTAAAACATTTTTATTTGATAGGGCCTATAGTTAAAATCTGATGTTAGCCTAAATCTGGACAAGTGGGGGAGTAGAGGGAGGTGGAGTGTACAGTCGGTAAAGACGGCTCTCCCTTGCCCCGCCTCCAACATGCCTCCATCTAAATAGGATAGATTATCCAGAGTTAACTCTGTAGTTATGCTGCTATAGGCTTAGACTGCTGGAGGACACACTGACCACTTTCCACACTCGACTGCTTTCTTCTACTATCTGCTCTTTAACTGTATTATTTCCTGCTATTTCAGCTGTTAACTTTATTTTCTCTCTAAGTGTTTTTCTCCCCAGAAGAAGCTACAACGATGTTCTGCTGAGCTGTGGTGGCCTCATGGAGGGGGCCATCGACTAGCACACTGCTGCTAACCACTAATACATTCTCCCTCTCCTGATGATAACTTTTTGCTTTCCTTGACGTTGGATGTGCTACTACTAGTTTACCCGTTTAATTATAGATCCACTAGGATAAATACAATAAAGTTTATCTCTCACCAAATAGAATATTTACTAAGAAATCACAATGTAACCATAGACACATTATTGTGTGTGTGTGTGTGCGAGTGTGTGTGCGAGTGTGTGTGCGAGTGTGTGTGCGAGTGTGTGTGCGAGTGTGTGTGCGAGTGTGTGTGCGCGTGTGTGTGTGCGTGTGTGTGTGCGTGTGTGTGCGTGTGTGTGCGAGTGTGTGTGCGTGTGTGTGCGAGTGTGTGTGCGAGTGTGTGTGCGTGTGTGTGTGTGTGTGTGTGTGTGTGTGTGTGTGTGTGTGTGTGTGTGTGTGTGTGTGTGTGTGTGTGTGTGTGTGCGTGTGTGCATGTGCGTGTGCGTGCGAGTGTGTGTGCGTGTGTGCATGTGCGTGTGCGTGCGAGTGTGTGTGCGAGTGTGCGTGCGTGTGTGTGTGTGTGTGTGTGTGCGTGTGTGCATGTGCGTGTGCGTGCGAGTGTGTGTGCGTGTGTGCATGTGCGTGTGCGTGCGAGTGTGTGTGCGAGTGTGTGTGCGTGCGTGCGTGCGTGTGTGTGTGTGTGTGTGTGTGTGTGTGTGTGTGTGTGTGTGCTCTGTCTTCTCCATCCCCAGTGAGTCGTGGAGGATGGCTGCTTATACTGAGCCAGGATTCTCTGGAGGTTTCTTCCTGTTAAAAGGGAGTTTTCCTCTCCACTGTCGCTGCATGCTTGCTTAGTATGAGGATTGCATCAAGTCACTGACACTAGTCAGTGACTTGATGCAATTTGCTGGGTTCCTTATATAGGAAACATTATTTCTGACTGGCTTAATGAACTGATCTGAATTGGAATGTTTATTAAGTGAAGCGCCTTGAGACGACTCTTGTCGTGATTTGGCGCTTTATAAATAAACTTGAATTGAATTGTTCACACATATGATACGGGGGGGGGGCATCATTGTTCTGCTGCTAATCACACAGAGACCATAAATAGTTGGGTGTGAGCCTCAAGGTACATCAGCTGTTTCCTGTTTTAATGAAATTTCGGAGATAAGATGTTGGATGAGTTCCAGCTGGCAGACGGATCAGAGATGCAGGTGCACCTCTAAAAGGTCGGATGACTGGAAAAGTCCATCAAATGAAGATGTAATATTCCCCCAACAGGTTACCTCACTCACTAGAAATAAACACTTCATATGATTTTCACTTCATCATGAGTGCAGAAACAGAATTTTATCCTCATGAGTTGGGAAGTGCCTGCTGACCAGACCGTGAGGGAGTGTCGAGGTGGAGATCAGAGCTGCAACATTACAGCAGGGACACATCACATGCTCATGCCATGGGTCGCACGTTGTCTCACATCTGCTGCATCTGTCGAGGTTGGGGGGGGGAGTCCTCGGCAGCGATTTAAATCTGATGGTTATTTATATCCCAGCAACAGATGGAAACCACCGTCTGAGAGGAGAAACGGTTTAAAGGAGCGGCTCAGATGTCGTCCACAGACTTTATTTATATCATAAGAAAGCACACACACACACAGCTGCAGTACAGTGATGTTTAAGTTCTTCTTTAGTGTCAGATGTCAAAGAGCGATCATGAAACGATGATGTCGGATTCTCAACAGGTCCACCTTCTGAAAACCCCTCCATCCGAAGCCGGAAGCACTCAGCTGAAGTTCTAAATCTTTGATATCAAACTGTTACATAAGTGGGAATAGTCAGACCTCTTACATCATCTCACATCTTTAAAACCTCCTGAGGCTCCAGTTGTGAGTTTGGCCCAGGTCAAAGGTCAGCAGCAATGTTGTGCTTGAATGACTTCGTTGAAGTGTGGTCTAGTGAGGTCTGTTGAGAGGGTCATGGGTGTCTCTCTACCCTCCCCCTGGACATTTACGACAACTGTCTCACCTGCAAGGCCACCAGGATCTCTGTAGACCTCCTCATCCAGCTCACTGTCTCTTCAGCCTGCTACCATCAGGGACCAACCCTAACCCTAACCCCCCATCAGGGAGGAGACTGCAGACCAACCCTAACCCTAACCCCCCATCAGGGAGGAGACTGCAGACCAACCCTAACCCTAACCCCCCATCAGGGAGGAGACTGCAGACCAACCCTAACCCTAACCCCCCATCAGAGAGGAGACTGCAGACCAACCCTAACCCTAACCCCCCATCAGGGAGGAGACTGCAGACCAACCCTAACCCTAACCCCCCATCAGGGAGGAGACTGCAGACCAACCCTAACCCTAACCCCCCATCAGGGAGGAGACTGCAGTCCTAACCGCGTTTTTGGGACCAGGCAGTGAGGAGGCAGAGCCCCCTCCGTGCCCTGCCCCCATCACCAAATCACTCAGATTATCCACGGCCCTGCACACGCTCTAGGATTATGAATAATTGAGCACTTGTAGTGTAGCACCACTGTGACTTTTACATGGTGCAAATTCATGTTCCTTAATCACTTTTTATGCATGTAGTACATTTTACTTTTATGGATGAACATTTAAGTCGAGCAGTTTTACTCCTGAATGTATCGTGTGTGGTGTGCACGTGGGGTGCACTGGGTGTGTTGGTCATTGTGTGATGAAGGTGGCCAGCTGACAAGTCATGTATGATGAATGTGTGACTTGGACATCACTTGTTTTTCTGGTGAAATGCTGACGGAGGTCATGCAGGCCATGGTAATCCAAAGGCAACAGTTGGACGCCTGTAAAATCAGCGGGTCGGTCTCCGTGTTGGTTGGTGCACCTAGCAGCTCCACAACTAGCTGGCATGCAGGGCAGAGGAGCACGTTACAGTTTTGCCCCAGGTGAACATTTCCAGCTGACTCTGACTGACATGGTCTAGATGTGTTTCAGTTGGGGGGGGGGGGGGGGGGGGGGGTGTCTCTTCCACCTCCTTGCAGTGGTCAGGACCATCTTCCTGTCATCAGGAAGATGGTCTTCTTGTGATTATCTGGCCAGGTAACCAGTGCAGAACTGCTCATTTCTACAGGTCCAGTAATGGAGCTACTGGTTGCTGACCAGATATTTACGTCTGCTCACAGGCTGTGTTCAGTTCCTCATGGTTGTCACTTCCTTTTCTCATCACCTTCCAGAGCACACTCCTCCTTTAGTCTGGTAACAATGATCTTCTTCAACATGTCCGCCAGCTGTGGAGCTCCCCAGCCTCTGTGGTGAGTGGTTTCGAGGGTAAAGACCGGTCCTTTTATGCCCCTAGAGGGTGTTGGAGACGTTTGCACCATGAGCTTAAAAAGGGCTCAGGGGGTGTTTGGTGCCCCTGCCCACAGAAGTTCTAGCTTTGGCCCTGTAAATATTGCACCCACCCTATGGCGGTGATGATGATGATGAGGAGGAGGAGGAGGCGGAGGACTAATCTGACAGCAGTAATCCCACAGTGGGGGGGGGGGGGGTGCGCGCCGTGTGAGTCCACAGATGCTGAGGGTCTCTGAGATCAGACGGACGCCGTGACATGTCCTCGTGCATTCAGCGTGGACGAGGATGATCCGACTGATGGGACTCACCTGTGGAAAGGAACCGTCAGGATGCCTTACCTGAGCCAAGCTGTCATCCTGCTGCTGTGTCTGCTTGTCACTGGGGAGGCCCGCAGACCCGGACTCCGGGTGCGTAGATGGACCGGAACCATGGAGACGCAGAAACATGGCACGTAAGTAGAGGCGACACGAGAAGAGATTTCCAGTGTAGAGCCCAGGATCCAGAAATTAGCAGCATCTGTTGACAGCTGGGGGTTCGGCTTACATTGGGCCGGAACCGGGCTCAGCAAAAGGTCCAAAAATAATACTGATAAGAACCAGATGAGAAGCTCCTGCAGTCATTTAACAAAAACAAAGCCACACGCTCTTTGTCCTGATCCATTTGGTTCTGAACAGCAGAACCGAGATCTGACACCACAGATCCACCCTTTGGTTCTGGGCTCACAGCTACCCAACAGAACCGCATCTTCGCTTTCCTCAGAGGTCAGACAGACTGGACCTCCAGATCCAACCTCACTTGAACACAGCACAGACCTACGCATCAGTGTCAGCCCGGTTCTGTTCAGGCAGATGGAACCCTGAGTTTTAGTTTGAGGGACGAAGACGGAAGAGCGACTGTCCCCTGACTGGAAGTTGGTGCCGGGTCTAGTGGCGGGTCACATGTTGAAGAACCTTTAGGAAATGGTTGGCGGCTTCCCACTGCTCCTCTGGGATGGGATCAGACTCAGCCTCTGTGCTTGGAACTCCCCTACACACACACACACACACACACACACACACACACACACACACACACACATACTCACATATAAACACACACACACACACACACACACACACACACACACACACACACACATACTCACATATAAACACTCACACACACACACATACTCACATATAAACACACACACACACACACACACACACACACACACATACTCACATATAAACACTCACACACACACACATACTCACATATAAACACACACACACACACACACACACACACACACACACACACACACACACACACACATACTCACATATAAACACACACACACACACACACACACACATACTCACATATATACACTCACAGACACACACACACACACACACACACACACACACACACACACACACACGCACACACACACACACACACACACACACACACACACACACACACATACTCACATATAAACACTCACACACACACACACACACACACACACACACACACACACATACTCACATATATACACTCACAGACACACACACACACACACACACACACACACACACGCACACACACACACACACACACACACACACACACACACACACACACACACACACACACACACACACACACACACATACTCACATATAAACACTCACACACACACACACACACACACACACGCACACACACACACACACACACACACACACACACATACTCACATATATACACTCACAGACACACATATACTCACACACACACACACACACATACTCACATATATACACTCACAGACACACACACACTCTCATATACACACACACACACACACACACACACACATACTCACATATATACACTCACAGACACACATATACTCACACACACACACACACACGCACACACACACACACACACACACACACACACACACACACACATACTCACATATATACACTCACAGACACACACACACTCTCATATACACACACACACACACACACACACACACACATACTCACATATATACACTCACAGACACACACACACTCTCATATACACACACAAACACACACACACACACACCATGCTGGTCCTCCTTAAAGGTGTGGAGCACTGAAAACCCATAAATGGGTCACTCTGAGTGTTTCATGCAGGCTGAACGTGAAAATAGTCTCCTACACCCATCTCCTAAGATCCCGCCATCTGAAGCTCTCCCCTGAGCAGCCCCCCCCCCGGACTACGACTTGCACTAGAGACCTCTAGTAATTTATTGGTTAAACAAGAGTCCCGCACCCTTGATCAGACCTGCGCCGTCCTAGAGGAGATCAGCGCGTGCATGAGCACCCTAGCAGCAGGTCTGAGTTCAAGTTAAAGCGGGAGTCAAGGCCACGGTGGAGATGCGTTTCGTCCACACTTCCTGTTAGGAAAACGCTTCTGAAAGAGGCGTCGCCTGGCGGACCGAGAGAGCGGCACTGAAGCAGTGGTAGGCCGCACCCCCCTCAACCCCCCCGCGTGTGCTGTCGGAGTTTCGCAGTCTAAAAACGAGTTGTTAACGAGCACGTGCACACACTCGCACAAGACTTGCCGCTCAGGAGAAGAGCAGACACAGATGCTGCAGCATTCTGGAGGATTTCCTGTTAAACGCGATCGTTAGGTGAAAGGGGGAGGCGAGCGGCTCAGAGCGCTAACGTGTCATATGGGCAGGTGAGTGGCTGAGCCAGGTGGAGGTGCGGCTGCCTCACCTGGAGACCGGTGCGGTGCAGCCACGAGGTCGTTTGCTGATAACGTTCTCCAGCGTAGCCATCAGCCACCGCTGGTTCTGCATGAATGTGGAGCAGAGTTTAACCTGAGGATGGAGACAGGGTTAGGGTTCTGGGCTGGAGTGTTACATTTAAAGTAAGCTGCACTAAACCACCACACTAATGATCACACACGTGTGCAGCACCATCAGACACTCGTCTACGCAGGTTATCAGCAAAAGAAGGTAAGTCAGGTGCTACTGGCACTTTAAATGTTAGGAGAGAGTCCCAAAGCTGAGCTAAGATGGACAAAAGACAAACCGCAGGTGCTGTTTGACTGCTGCTCACTCCCAACATATGAGAGACACCAAAAGAGTCCATGCTCTCCACGTTTAACCACGAAGCAGATGTGTTGCAGCAGGAAACGGCTAAAGCCTGCAGGGAGGCCCTGGGGGACACCTGCTGTGGATTAGACCACCTTGTTGAGGTTCTGACTCCGAATGTCTTCTTCCAGATCTCTGAAACCTCCGGATGTGACCAAATCCCGCAGAACCAAGACAGAGCACCTTCTCAGAGTAGATGATCATGACTTCACCATGAGGCCTGCTTTTGGAGGTAGGCGTTCTAAAGAACCGGTTAACCTGTAGGTGAAGAAGTCACCATGTTTGCAGAGGAACGTAGAAGTCCACCATCAGCTGGTGGCTACTGTCACTGGCCCCAGGGTAGCTGTTGCCACCTCCATCAGGATGGAGGTCATGCAAAGAGCTTTGGAGTCCTCTGACTCATACGTGCCAGTCCTTTATCACTCAGTCCATCATCTACCAAGCTTCTTTCCATTCACAGTGATGGTGGTTCTTCAGGTTGTTTCCATCTATTAGAATTTGTTTTCAGGTCTTCTCCTTTGAGCTCTTTCATAGTTGGTCCAGGATTTAGAGCTCACCTCTAACCACCTGCTGCAGAGTCCCTGTCCACCAGAAGCTTCTTGGTCATGTGGAACCTGAATGAGACCTCCTGCTGCTTTGATGAACCTTCATGTAACCCTCAGAGCTGGTGGGTGACTGTGGTGCCTTCTGAGTATCATCAGCTCCAGGAGGTCATCCCTCGCATGCTCCGAGAGCATCTTCCCCCTCCAGCTGCTCTGTTTGGCTCTGAAGACATAAGGGTTGTGTGTTTTAAACGAGGACAACGGCAGGAACCGTTTGATCCATGTTCCTGCTCTGAACCCATTGGACCAGGTTTTGTCCTGATTCTGAGAACTCGTCCTCACATGGATTTAGTCTCAAAGTAACAGGTCACTGAAACACACAAATCCCTCTTCTCCAGTCTTTCTGGACCAACAACATGAAGCTCAGAACATCAGAACCAGGTCCAGTCTAAGCTTAAACAATGGAAGCGTTTGTCTGGATTATTTGGCTGTTCAGATTAAAATAATTGAGTTCAGACTGTATGAAGGACTAGACTCACCACAGCTCCTGACTGGGTTGTGGTTCTGATTCTGAGTCTGGATACGGTTTCAGAGAGCTCCTCTCGCTGGTGCTGACCTCCGCTCTGCAGGCTGCACGCCAGGCCCGGCAGCTGCAGATTAAAGCTAGGGGCAGTCCTTTCTGTTTTCAGATCAGATTAACGTCAATCTGTTCCATCATCCTGCATCTGTTACCCCACACCCAGAGTCTCCCTTTCCTGTTTTATTCAGTCACCAAGTCAGAATGGAGGACTTGGTGGAGCTCTGGATTACCAGGCTGAGACGAACTGAGTACAAGAACGTGTTCAGAACATTTCAGACAGAAAAGCCCAGATGTTTGTGACCTTGTTCTGCAGGCCCTGCGATCCCTGTTGGCGTGGACGTCCAGGTGGAGAGTTTAGATAGCATCTCTGAAGTGGACATGGTAAGAAATGTGGCTCCTCTCAGATTACTCCACCTTAAGCTTGGTTTCACACGGCAGGATAATCTTACCTATCTTTGATCCGATTCTCCCTTTGCGACAAGGACGATCCATCCCCCCGTTATCTTAACGGCTCTGAAGATAACCTCATCAGTGTGTGGTTGGGTTAGGGTTAGCTCTGGTCCACTCAGAAGGACGTCAGGATGGCTCTGATCATTAATCTGGGCTTTCAAAACCGTTGGTTTGGCTTGGTCCGATACGGAGAACAAACATGCCTGCTTCCTGTTGCATGCTGCCTAGCGTGGTGAAATCTGGTCATGTGTCGTATTTGCCATGGGGCTGCAGACCTTACATCATCACAGGTGGTCTCTCATGCCTTGAAAAATCGGACAAAACTGTAGAAATCCCGCCATGTGAAACAGACGTTTGCTAGAATGTAGCTGCTTCTGGACTCAGGCTCAATAGGTGACCTTTTTGTCTGTGAGAGGTGCTATACAAATAAAGTCACTTACTACTTACTTACTTACTAAATTCACCTGTTTTGGTTTTATTTTTAAGCTGAGGCATCCTTCTGCTTTCCCTACATCCTTCACACCGACTCTGTAATCTGGTAATCCCACTAGGACTTCACCATGACGCTGTACCTGAGACATTACTGGAAGGATGAGCGCCTGTCGTTCAGCAGCAGCACCAACAAGAGCATGACGTTTGATGGTCGGCTGGTAAAGAAGATCTGGGTCCCTGACGTCTTCTTTGTCCACTCAAAGAGGTCCTTCATCCACGATACGACCACTGACAACATCATGCTCCGAGTTTACCCGGATGGACATGTGCTCTACAGTCTGAGGTCAGTGGCATGCCTGCCAGAAATCAGCCTGAGGTCTTTACATCTCATTCTGACTCTCATATTTACCTACAACAGCTGCTTGAACTTTGACCCCAAATTTACGTCACACACTTTGAAGACATCTTGATTTACTCTGAAACTTCTCTTCTCTGAACCAACCAGCAAATCTGAAGGAGGGTTTCAGCGAGACTGGAGGGCTCAGAGCTCTTTTCAGGCTGTCGCTCTCTGAGCCGCGTTTTTCACATTTACTTATTTTCCTGTTTTAAACATTCGTGTGGTTGTGAACTCTCCTTTCCTTGTGACATGTCCTGTTCAATGAGCGTCAGCTGATGAGATCAGGAAAGCTTATAAAGAGATGTGGTGGTGGAACGTGGAAGTAGAGCTGAGGTCAGGTGGGACCGGGACAGGACCGGAGAGGGCAGGAGCTGAGGCATGGGGTGAAGATGGCGGTTAGGTTGGGGTCACGTGTACAGCACCGTGAACGTTTCAGCCACCAGCTTAAATGTTTTGTTGGGGTTTCCTGTGACAGGCCAACACACCGTAGCACATCACTGTGGACTGGAGTCCCGCTGATTCATGTTTTTTTATTTAAACCATAAAAATCTAAAGTGTGGTGTCACTTTGTATTCAGCCCCTCCTGCATCAAATGTTCACCACCAAACAGCTCAAGCTCACCCATGTTGGATGGAGAGAATCTGTGAAAAGCACTTTTCTTTTCTTAGGTCTGGTTCGGGTTAGGGTTCGGGTTCGGGTTCGGGTTGTGGCCAACATGAATATTCTCGGATATCAACCATTCTATTGCAGCTCCTGCTCTGTGTTAAGGGTCACTGTCCTGCAGGTCAACACTCAAGTCCTTTATTGTGTTCAGCTCCATCCATCCTCCCATCAACTCCAACCAGCTTCCTTGTTTCTGCTGAAGAAAAGCATTCCGACAGCATGATGCTGCCACCTCCATGTTTCACAGTGGGGATGGTGTGTTCTGGGTGATGAGCAAATGTTTGCATTTAGGTCCAAAAGTTCCACTTTGGTCTGGACTGATCTACAAGTCTTCTACAAGTTTGCTTCGTCCCCTGCATGGCTCCTGGAAAACTACAAGCGGCTTTCCTCTTCCATAGAGGCCAAATTTGTGGGGGACATGAGTTGTCCTGTGGACAGCCTGTCCCACTTGAGCTGTGTATTTCTGCAGCTCCTGAGTGACCAAGCGTTAGATATTGTCTCTAACCAGTGCTCTTCTTGCTTGAACTGCTAGTTTAGTTTAGTTTAGTTTAGTTTAGTTTGGTTTAGTTTGGTTTGGTTTGGTTTGGTTTAGTTTAGTTTAGTTTAGTTTAGTTTAGTTTGGTTTGGTTTGGTTTGGTTTGGTTTAGTTTAGTTTAGTTTAGTTTAGTTTAGTTTAGTTTAGTTTAGTTTAGTTTAGTTTAGTTTAGTTTGGTTTGGTTTAGTTTAGTTTAGTTTAGTTTAGTTTAGTTTAGTTTAGTTTAGTTTAGTTTAGTTTAGTTTAGTTTAGTTTAGTTTGGTTTGGTTTGGTTTGGTTTAGTTTAGTTTGGTTTGGTTTGGTTTGGTTTGGTTTGGTTTGGTTTAGGGTTAGCAGACGCAGCAGATCATGACCTTTAGGTCAAAAACAGGACATTCATGACGCTACACGGTAAATCGAGAGCCTTGCTCTCTGGCTCAGCTCCCTTTTCACCACGACAGACTGGTACAACGCCCACATCACTGCAGATGCTGCCCCAATCCTCCTGTCGATCTCCCGCTCCCTCCTTCCCTCACTTGTGAACACGACCCTGAGATGTTTGAACTCCTCCACTTGGACGAGGACCTCTCACCTGACCTGCAGTTGGCAAACCACCCTTTTCCAGTTGGGATCCATGGTCTCAGATTTGGAGGTGCTGATCCTCATCCCAGCCGCTTCACACTCGGCTGCGAACCTACCCAGCAAGAGCTGAAGGTCCGAGCTGGATGAAGCTAGGAGGACCACATCATCCGCAAAAAGCAGAGACGAGAATCTCCTGCCACTAAACTCCACACCCTCAACACCACGTGTAGATCAGTTGATCCAATGATTGAGTTATGCTGCAGATGGACTTCAACAGACACCGTAGTTGTGACGTGAGAGGTGTTCGTATGTACCACGCGCTTGAGCTATCCGGTTAACATGGCTGTGTAAGTTGCTGAGAGTACCCAGTAAAAGCTCTCATAATCAAATCCTGGTCTCATAGCTCATTCCCACACCACGGCTGCGCCTAGAAATCCTTTCCATAAAGATTATGAACAGAACTGGTGACAAAGGGCAGCCCTGATGGAGGCCAACCCTCACTGGGAACAGGTCCGACTTACTACCGGCTATGCGGTCCAAACTCACGCTCCTCTGGTAAAGGGACTGAATGGCCCTTAACAAAAGACCATCCACCCCATACTCCTGGAGCGTCCCCCACAGGGTGCCCGTGGGGACACGGTCATAAGCCTTCTCCAAATCCACAGAGCACATGTGGATTGGTTGGGCAAACTCCCATGACCCCTCCATCACCCTTGCAAGGGTATAGAGCTGGTCCACAGTTCCACGGCCAGGACGAAAACCACATTGCTCCTCCTCTATCTGAGATTCAACTATCGACAGGACCCTCCTCTCCAGTACCTTGGAGTAGACCTTGCCAGGTAGGCTGAGGAGTGTGATCTCCCTGTAGTTAGCACCCTCTGGTCACCCTTCTTAAAAATGTGGACCACCACCCTGGTCTGCCACTCCACGGGAACTGCCCCCATTGATTATGCAATGTTGCGAAGTTTCAACCATGACAGTCCTACAAAGAACTTATCCACCCCCAACGCCAACCTGCGACTCGCACAGAACGAAACACCCTTCTGGTTCAGAGTGGGCGGGCCGTTCCTCCCAATCACGCCCCTCCAGGTCATGCTGTCATCCCTAGTGAGCATTGAAGTCCCCCAGCAAGACCGTGGAGTCCCCAGTCGAAGCACCATCTAGCACTCGTTCCAGGGACTGCAAAAGGGATGGGCGTGGTTCCTGTAAACTGGGTGGGCAGGCTTTGGCTAATAAATAAGAGAAGAAATATAAATTCCCACGTAAAGTTTATATCCGGTGAAGTAGGGAGCGTCTGCTAAAAACCAAAGAAGTCAGATAATTAACCACCGCATCAGGGTTTTATTCAAAGAAACAGTTGCCAAAGCTATAATAATAATAATAATAATAATAATAATAATAATAATAATAATAATAATAATAATAATAATAATCTGTGCTCTGGTCAGGACTGTCAGCCTCCACAATCCCCTCCTAATCTTCTACCGGTGCAGATAACTGCCCAGGTGGGATGCCATCTGTCCGGGCATATCAGAATAAAAGTACACATCCTCCCAGCTTCCTGGGTTTTTCAGAATAAAAGCACACATGCAATAAAAACTAAATAAAATGAATACACTCTAAACTACATCACACTGGGAGGGAAGAACACAAGAAAACCCAACTTTGCCCGTATGACATGGGTACTCTGAACTGCTATTTGGTGCGTAAGCACAAGCAACAGTCAGGACCCGTTCCCCTCCCAAAAGCGCATGGAAGTTACCCTCTTGTCCCCTGGGGCAAACCCAACGTACAGACAGTGAGTCTTGGGACTAACGAAAAGCCCACCCCAGCCCTCCGCCTCTCACCCGGATCAACTCCAGCAAAGAAGAGTGTCCAACCCGTCTCCAGGACTCGGCTTCCAAAACATATTTCATTCACCTTCAAGTTATTCTAATAAAATAAGAAATATTAGGTAGCCATATTCTCTGCTGCTTTGTGTTTGTTGAACAGAGTAACCGTGACAGCAGCCTGTAACATGGACTTCAGCCGGTTCCCTCTGGACTCCCAGACCTGTTCTCTGGAACTGGAGAGCTGTGAGTAAACTGTCACTTGGATCATGTTCTGCAGCAAACGGAGATGTGATTACTGCTGTTTCCCTGATGTTGTGTGTGGGATCTCTTTGGAAATTGGCTGACTAGTTAAAGATCCTGCCATGTGATCTGGGCTTTAGCCACCTTCATCAGCTATACCACGACTCACTCGAGGTAAATTCTTTATTTAGTACCAACACAAGTTGTCTCAAGGCACTGATAAACGTTCCAGTTCATCATCATCATCATCAACTTTATTTGTGACGCGCTTTTCATCAACTAGAAGGTAAACCAAGCGCTGTACCAGCATAAAAGGCTTCAAAACAACACTGACCCAAGCAAGGGCCCACAAAATAAAGTGGTGGTTGAACCTACTCATCAGTGCATGGAGTTCAGTTCATTATTCCAATTAGTTAAAGGGACCATATCAGCTTTTTGGAGTTTTTGAACGTGTTCTGTTGTTCTTTCCTCAGTAAAAGACCCCAAAGCAGTTTTTGGCTTCATGCATGCATTTTCCTGATTCTTCCCTTTAGCTCTGCTAAGCGATTGCAAAAGCCTGGATGGATTGTTGCTGTCATCATGACCTGCTTCTCCCCATCGAAGCAGTCTCAACTTCAGATCCCTCCTCTTCTGGACTGTAAACACTAACATCCTTCCTCCAACAGACTCTCTAATATCACTCCTGGGGCACTGGGGGAAACGCCCCTGAACTGCAGCTAAACAGCCAATCACGGTTGGTTGCTAAGGAGAACTGGACAATTCTTTAACAGCAGAGGGTGCCAGGCTGTATGTTCTCAACAGGAGAAAAAAAAATGGAGATGAGAGGTCCGGAGCAGAGTGGACCTAAAGTGGAGCAAGTCAGTTAGTTTCCAGTGGCGGCTGGTGAATTATTATTTTTTTGGGTGGGGCGCAATTTAACAGGTGTTGTGGTGAAAAGATCATGCAAGCCGTGAGTTGCAGGACCTGTTATAGGAAGGTGCGTACGAATAATGAGGTTTTAAAATAAATTTGTACCATTAACATGGTTCTTCTCCATTTGCCTCCTTACAAAATGATGGTTTTTGGGCAGATAAATAAAAAATGATGGTTTATTTAAAAATATAATAACAAATATTTTAAATATTTGTAATTTCGAGTCACATTCCTGTTTTTTTTAAACCAATAGCTAAATTTAAGCAGGCAGAAGAAAATAATATAAAAATACTCACTAAACATTAGTCTGTAACGTGTTTAAATAAAATGTGTAAAAATGTAAATATTAGTCAAAAACAAAAGGTTTTCTGGGGGAAAACAAATTAGAAAAGTGTTCATATCATGTATGTATTACAAATAGCCTCATGGCTCAAATTCTAATAATTACGTCTAAAAAATCAGACTGGACTGACTGGACTGGACTACCCACATATCACCACCAGAGAACGCTAAATAACCATTCTCATGTGTAATGTGATAGAAGTGGTTACTTTTGATGAATGATAAAAGTGATATTCCATATAAATATGTATTATCAATAATATTGATCCTTTTATGTTTGATCTAAGATGAAACCAGGTCTTCTTGGTAGTCCAGGGAAGACACACCTACGTCATTACTTGAGACAGAGGCAAATCTATAGTTTTCAATTAATCAATTAATACTATATTTCTACTACAGATGATGACACACAACAACTTGTGATGAATGATGGATGAAAGCAGACAACTGAGACAAGTTTAGCTTAGACGTTATGCATGCAAACCTGCTTAAGAGTCTGAGAAAACTGATGTCTGGGTTGTAAAAGCAGTCCGGTTTAACAACCTATCAGTAAAAACCCGTCCTACACCAGTTGTGCAGCATCTATGAACCCTTGTGGTGAAGGTCCTGCTGATCCAGGGGGCGGAGAAGTCAGTACGGACAGGCTGCCAGTGGAGTTGACTTCTGTGCTATTCGACGCTCGTAGTTACACCTTGAATACAGAACAGTCTGAGGTACCTTGAGGAAGTGTCAACTCGTTTTAATAACTGTTATTTATCAATTTGGACAAATCAAAAGCTTAGAAGTTTACCCGGGCATTAACAAAATCCTCAGACGCCACCTGATTCCTCAAACACTCAGAGGGGTTATTTGCTTAATGTGGAGTAAAAATGTTAAACACTCATAATAATTTAACTACATTATTGTGTGAAAACACTGATAAATAAATTGACTTTAGATGAAACACTCATTATTTCATGTAATTGTTCTTTAGCTGTGAGGACTAATGTTATGAGATAATTATAAGATCTTTTACGGGGTAGATACAAGTCTTGAAGAGGGCCCCTGGACAAGTACCGACACCTCCCGATGTTAGGTTGGCCCAGCCTGTGTCGTGGTAGATGCTTAATCTTTTGGCACATATGATGAACTACATGGTGTCAGCCACGCTACATATGCGTCACTCCGACAGACCAGTAACCGCAAAATTGTTCCAAAAACGTGCTAAATATTCACCAATACATGCAAATCCAGCATTAAAACAAACACAGCTCATTTCATCAAGTTAAAAGCTCTAACTCAGTCCTGCCTTTGCCGGTTTATGTTTGTAATAATCCGTGGTAAAATCCACGTTTTTACATGCAGGTACATGAACGGGTGTTCAAAAGTCTCTGAAGCCACATTCCATCGTTTTCCAGTCATCGTGTCTACCCACTCCCCGTTCAGCACCTGATCTGGCTTTTTTCAGCTTTCCAGTCTAGAACTTTTCCTGTTTTCCTTTTTGCCAGCTGCTTCACACGAGTGTGTGAATGACGACGCTGTCTAAAGGAAACACCGTTCTCCAACTCATTTATTTATAGAATTTCAGAACAGGACTCCTCCCCAGCGGTTAGAGGCCAAGATATGAACAAAACATGCTCACCTGGGCTCTTGTGTCGACATCTGTCACTGGACGAGGAGCTGAGAGGGGCGTCATGGAAACTTACCGCTGCTCATCCTTCGTGGTATCGCCAATCTGTAGACGGTATTATGGTTTTAAAAACAGAGCTGGAGACGGGCCTTTCATCAGACCGCGTGGGCTTGTTACTGAAACAATCAGCATCACCACGTCCAGACAGCCTTCAGAGTAAAAGCCCCAGACTGGAAGCGGGGTGTTCTTTTGCTGCGGTTCTGTCACGAGCATGTCTCGTGCGCGCTCTTACACAACAGTTAAATGGCAGTGTGTGGCTCAGACGAGACAGCGTTACGGGCGAGCCAAGTCTCTGACATTAAATTGGAATCCTCCACCCGATAACAGATTAAACTTTCCATAGCTGACTTGAACTTGGCAGGTGTAGCTTGAGAAATAATGAGGGTCAAAAGATGTTTTGAGAAACGGGACTGCGGGTCAGCTTGACCTGACTTCTTATTACTTTCCCAGCCAGTTTCTAGCTTTGATAAACAGTTCTTGGAAAAACAGGCTTTCTAACAAAAGATTCAATATTCAGTTTTATACCCTCCCTACCAATGACCTCCTGACCTTTATAGCCACCACAAATTTGGATCTGTTTCTTTGCTTTCTTTACTCTTTTTATGTATCAAAAGTACTGGATGGGGACTCAGTATTGGCAGATTCTCAAAATCAAATGACTCGGACTCGAGGGCATAGGACCTGATCGGGACACCTCTAGTTTTCTCCACGTTGCTCCTACTGTCATCCTTGAAGAAGGATGTGGAGCTTGCTGAACTCAGATGTGCTGCTTCTCTCCTTCTCTGATGTTAATGAGCGGAGAACCTCTCACACCGGCGGTTCTGTTGCTGAATACGTGAGTGTGGTGAGTGGAGGACCCAGGGGAGTGTGCTGGTTCGGTGAAACTGACAACCGGATGGTCCAGTGGTTGGTTTAGGTGGTTTTAGACAAATGAGAGAACCACTTTATTCATTTCTGGGTTTTTTTTATCTCCACAGCATATTTATAGCGATACGATGTTAGAACGTTGTTAAGAGACCTGAAAATGTTTTAAGCAAATGTGTTTCTAAATGTGCCATTGTAGCTGTAAGGCTCACATGGTGCACTTGTGTGTTTAGCAGTTGCTGATTTAAAGCTTCAGTCTTTGCTGCTCTGTAAAATGGTTCAGTTAACCTGTGTGATGATTTCAGATGCATACACAGACGAGGACCTGATGCTGTACTGGAAGAGCGGCGACGAGTCTCTCAGCACAGACGACAGAATCTCTTTGTCTCAGTTTCTGATCCAGAAGTTTCACACCACATCTCGTCTGGCTTTCTACAGCAGCACCGGTACATCAGGGGTCACCCTCAGACAGTCTGGTCTCATGTCAATAAAATCAATCGTTACCATTGCTCCAAAGATCATATTGATCACTTTCTGATTCCTTGTTACAGACACATTCATAAGAATAAAACATTACAAGCATCCCTAAAAAGCATGCTAGGAACATTTCACCTGCTGTAGCCCAAACACACATTAGCCACGTTTACATGCGCCAAATTTCCCCAATCCGAAATCCCGAATCTCTGTCTACGGACACCAACTGAAATGATCCGATCGTGCCGTGAGTTTGACGCACCAAGTTTTCAGTCAGATTAAATAAGTTGAGCCTGCGCAGAGTTTTCTTTCCCGGGAAAAACAATTTTTCCTGCTTTCCTGATTCATTTAATCAATTTAGTGTTTTTGTTTTGCTAAAAACCTGCAGGTAATCACAGAAGTTACATTTTCTTCAGTGAATCCCTGCAGGTTTATGCTTTTCTGTGTTTTATTGTTGATGACATTAAAGTACGGGAGGGTTATCCTCGTCTCTGCCTCTTGATCAGCTGTTCCACGGCTCTGACGTGGCGGCTGTGGGTGGCGGAGTTCATTCTTGTGTTGTATTACTGAGCTCTGTTTTGGTTTATTATTAATAAAATGTGACAATCAGCTGAAACTGTGGAGAAAATTGGTTCAAACATCATTTTTAAAGTCAGGCAGTCTAAATGAGGGCGGGGCGGCTCGCTGTCTGCTGCACACATGCACAGTGGGCATTATTCTAACCCTAACCCCGGGCCGAGTCGGATCAGAATATTCCGATTGACATGTTTACATGCAGAATTTTTTATCTGATTGGGCGTTCAACCCGATTACTTGTGCCCATCTAAGCGGGGCTTTTCTCTCACCTTCCTTCTGCTCCATGTAAACCTGAACTGCTCACCTGCTTATGTGTAACCACATATCTCTGGGGGCTTGCTGAAGAGGCTGTAGTCGAGAGATTCTGCCTCAGACAGACTCATGGCTGTTTAAAAGTTCTGGATGAACCCATGCTCTGCTGCCACACAGAGACTGGAACAACAAGCGCTACTTCAGCCAAAATTTTTAAATCTGGGAACATTTCTCCAAATTAAAACAAGAAAGTCAGCAAAAATCTCTGAAGGAAGAGCGTTCACTTCAGCATGCGCTGGATCTGACCCGAGCCACACAGCAGGTTGTTGGATTTTGATTGGGATGTGTGTAAAATGTTCAGATCATGTTTAAGCCTTGATACGATTCTGTCTGTAGGCTGGTACAATCGTCTCTACATCAACTTCACGCTGAGACGCCACATCTTCTTCTTCCTGCTGCAGACGTATTTTCCTGCCACTCTGATGGTGATGCTGTCATGGGTTTCATTCTGGATCGACCGGCGAGCCGTCCCAGCCAGAGTCTCTCTAGGTAAAGTAGGAATCCTTAAAAGTCGGGGGGGGGGGGGGGTCATACAAGCAGGGAAAGATTCTTCTACTGAAAAACGACTGAAAAAACCACGGGCATGCTAGAAAAGGTCCCGGTACGCTGAGAAGTACTACATAACAGACTGTGCCAGCCCACTTAGGGCACCAATCTAAATCCTTTTATTACTGATATCATGATAATAGGTGACTGGTAACCAGAGGTGGAAAGAGTACTAAAATTTCCCACTTAAGTACGAGTACCAATACTTTAATAATTTTTTACTCAATTACAAGTAAAAGTACTTGCCTAAATTTTTACTCAAGTAAAAGTAAAAAGTATCATAAACAAAATGTACTCAAAGTAAAAGTTACTTAGTTACATTTTTGTCAGCGTAAGGATGGCTACATCTAAGTCACATATGTCAGAGTCAAGGCCCACGGGCCAGATGCGGCCCGCGGAGCATTTTTATGTGGCCCGCGAGATAAATATCAAAAATATATTAAAACTGGCCCGCTGGCCAATTTTACCGCAAAAGCTTCAACTCCCATGATGCTTTGCGGCGTCAGCGCGGAGCCGACGCGCCCCTTCCTTTGTGTTGTCGCGTGCACGTCCCATTTACCAGTTCCGTTAGAACTTATGAGACAGTACATCCATCAGGGTTCTAGGGGATGTCGGCGAGTTTTATCGTATCAGATCCGGGTTTGGACCACCTAATTAGAATCGTGTCTTTTATTTTAAAGGTGAAATGACTTGTACGAATAGTATCCCCAGAGTAGTCCACTTCTTTTAAACTCGTTACCTTTTGGTTAAGATACTAGAGAGAAGTCTGGAGGCAAGCCAAGCCTCTCAGCAATTTTTTGGGTTATCCGGATTAATTGCGCCTCTAACAGCTTATGTGGGAGGTTGGTAACTATAAAATGATTTATGCTAGTTGATCAGGCTAACATAAGTTTCTCAATTTATTTAATTAATCCAACCCCTCCAGCTGGTAGAGACTTTTTCAACCTGCAATCAGAGCCAAAAATAACCTCTAATATTTTGGTTTTATCGCCCTTAAGACAACTCGTTACTCGCAAGGAGGGAGGAGTTAAACTCCCCTTATCTTAAGGTTTCTTTATATTATTTTATTATAAACTGTAAAGTAAGTCCTGATAATTCAGAGACCTGTGATCGACATGCTTACCTCTGTGCAATTATGGTCAGGGCCACAAACGTGAAGCTTTAGAGAAAACCTGAAAGAATCAGGATTATGTTTCTTTTTCAAAAAAGATTTATTACAAAATCAAAAATACAAAAATGGGTAAATAAAAAACAACTGCTATCCCCCAAGGAGGAATTAGTTCAAAATGATTAAATAAGAGTTAGTTTACACCAGCTCCTGTCTTCTGAGAATCTTCCGTTCAGCTCCTTCAAAAAGGCCCTCCTTCTCTCCAAAAAACTGCCTGTCATCCCCCATCCAGCAGGACGGGGGATGACCCCTTCAAATCTGCTCTGTCTCTCTGCCGTATGCCCCAGCTCTCTCTCTCCTGCTGTTCAGAGCTACTGCTTTTATACCCTTCCTGGGCCAGCTTAGGCAAGGCAAAAAGTCACATATCATTACCTCATGACAGTTTAGGTCAAGAGGTCATTTACCAGATACACACTTTGTAGCTCAACACAAAACATTTGGTGTCATTTTCACTACATGCAGCATTCTTCTTAACACAGGTCATTACATCATCTTTTGCAGCATTCTTCAGTTTCTCTCCAATGTTCCTGAGAGCTTCTGGATCTGATGGGCTTGTCTTCACTCTGTTCTCCTCCAATCCCATCTTTCCAAGCCGGGGGTGGATCCAGGGGTGGGGCCAGCCTCCTGACCTTTCGCCCAGTTCTGTCCTCTTGTCCCTGTGACCCTTGTGTGACCCTTGTTTCTGACCACAGTTTTTTGACCTGCAGCCCAGCTCCTGTCTTCTGGCTGATTTTGCTCGCACAAGCCAGTCCAGTGTGGCTCACCTTTTGACCCCGTACTTGCCACTGTCTTTGGCATGTGGGGACTGGCAACAGTGTTTTTTTCAGCGCCTGCTGCCGGTGTCTGCAGCTCCGCTGTCTCGGACAAACTAAACACTCCTCTCACTCAGCGCCGAGTTCACTCAGCTATTTTCTGACGTTGAAGCCCAGAAACGGAGATTTTAGCCGCTCAGTAATGTGTTCACGACTGAAAGAGAAAGTTTTCCAACTAACGTCCAGACAGAGCTGATATAACTCCAGCGAGCAGCGACACGCTCAAACCAGCACGACTCTGTGGTTGTGTTTCCTCCCCAACACACAACAACGTGGTCCAGCTGCTCAGACATGTTCATCAGCACAAACCTATGTGAGCACCTGTTGTCATCTAATGTTGTCATTATTATGATGAAGATGAACAAAACAACAGGAGTCTCCTCCTCAGCTCAGATCAACCCCATGATGCAGGTATCTGGCTGGAACAGGTGAGCATCACAGTAAACCAGTGGAGCAAACTGAGCTTTAAATATGTTGGTTTGATGCTCTTTTTCTGCTCCAAAACATGAAAGTTAACAGGTGAGATGTTGCATTTTCATTTAAGATAAAATGATATTTTAATTTTGTTGTTGGCCCGTGAGAAAAGATTTAACCTACAGTAAACAGGAAGTGGAAAGGCTGCAGGTAGATGAATAGAAAATCCCTTTATTGTTCCTCAGTGGGGAAAGCTAGACGTCACAGCAGCGATGACACGTATTACAGGAGAAAAAAGGAGAATAAAAAATAAGAAAAATTAATAATCAAGAAAACATAAATCCTGAATAGATTTAAAAATGCTGATTATACCACAAGTAATGAATACCACTGATGCCTTTTATTTAAAACGGACTTGCTCGTGTGTCATTTGGTTATTCCACATTCAGTGTTAATGCAGAAATATGTTTGTTTCCAAATTTAAAGGTTCTAAATTGCATATATGTTGATAAAGAAAATGTGCAAATTTGCATCACTTTTTCATAAAATATTAAGTTTGGCCCTCGACTCCGTCCCAGAGTTTCATTTCGGCCCCGTGTGTGTTTGAGTTTGACACCCCTGGTCTAAGTAGTGCTAAATCACAACGCCAGTTCACAATTCACTCGTGTGTGCGTGCACACACACACACACACTCAAACACACACGCTCAGCTTGAAGGAGGGATTTCTTTCCAGTCAGTGAGAACAGGACGTGCACATTGATTGGACGAGGTTTTTCTAGGATGGTAAGTTTCAATTGAGATTAAAATTATTCTTTATTTTGAGAAAAAAATAATTTTTAGATGCCATCAGTGTGTGAGGTATCTCAATGTTCTCATGACAAAACTCTAACATGAGACTGTGCTCTAACCCGTCACATAACAAGCTAAATGCAGTCAAACATTTCAGATGGACCGTATGACAGCTGCTAACGTTGGCCCTGCCCTGCTTTACCTCTACATTACAGTTCCTTTATCCATGTCCATCCTAGAGCTCCTCTCTGACTATTAAAGCTAGCAGAGTTCATCCTTGGTAGTGGGTTCACTCACTCATTTAACCCTTCACCACTGAAATTAGTTTGTTCATTCCAATCCTCCTAAATAATCCTCCAATCGTCCAACTGGAATCCTTCCAGGTGTTACTAGAACTAACGGTGTCTCCTCGCCAGCGTGAGCCTCCGAACTGTGAAGGTTGGTTTCCAAACATGAACTTTAAATTCATGCATTCATCTCCTCTTGTAACACTTTAACATGTTTTAAAAGGCTTGTATCATGATATGTTACACCTCCCAGACCAAAGATAAGATAAAACCTTATCGTAGATACTATTAAGACGTCATTATTTATGAAATATAAGTTATTTTCCTGAGCCGTTACTTCAGCCAAGATATAAGATGCATGGATTTGATGAAACCACACTTTCTCATGCAGTCCTATATGTGTAACACACACACACACACACACACACACACACACACTGCAGCATTTTAGAATAATTTGAACGACTAATTTAACTACACTGAACTGCTTTAGTAATACTTTAATCTCTTATTCTGGAGTAAAATAAAGAAACGAGCTAAATCATCACATATCTGTGGCATCAAGAAGCATCTTCTGAGTTCAAACACAGGGATGGAGCACAATGTTTACACCTGAACAGTATCAGGATGTTTAACTCACAGAGGCCTGCAGGTCTTCTGTTTTATGAGCAGAGCGCTGATAATCCACTTGTTATGAGCGCTAAACGTTATTTTGCCGCTTCCATGCGGAGCGGTAGGGAAACACGTTTCAAACACGGAACCGAGTCCGGCTACCAAACCGAGCAGAGTTCTGATGACGTCACATCGGTGCGCGAAGGTGCGGGTTCCAACCCACAGGAGAGGAGGGAGAGAGGAGGTGAACAGCGAGTGGAGGAACTGAACCGATGTCTTTGAGCAAAAGTGTACACACACACACACACACACACACACACACACACACACCCCCCGGTTTAGACACGGCGCTCATGCAGGTGTCTTTTTCCGTTCCGACGCTACATGTAATATTTTTAATTTATTAAGCCTATAATTTATTTTTACTCAGTAACGGATATCATTTAAAATGTAGCGAATTACAATTCTTTTTTAAAAACTTACTCAAGTAAAAGTAAAAGTACAGCTTTTAAAAACAACTTAAAAAGTATAAATTTACAAAAAAAGCTACTCAATTACAGTAACGTGAGTAAATGTCATTCGTTACTTTCCACCTCTGCTGGTAACCTTTTGAGAATGAGTAACTGGTACCTACTGACTATGTATGAGAATGAGTAACTGGTACCTACTGACTATGGATGATAATGAGTAACTGGTACCTACTGACTATGGATGATAATGAGTAACTGGTACCTACTGACTATGGATGAGAATGAGTAACTGGTACCTAATGACTATGGATGATAATGAGTAACTGGTACCTACTGACTATGGATGATAATGAGTAACTGGTAAATAATGACTATGGATGAGAATAAGTA